AGCCTTCACCCTGCCACGGGACGCAGTTGGACAACCCATCCAATCTTCGGGCAACGGTGGCGCGCTTGCGCCGCCGGCAGCGCCCATCCCATGGCAACGGCTCCAACATGCCTTGTCCACCTTGTAGGCCTTCGCCAGTGCAACCGGCCACCCACCCCCCCCCAAAGCACCCTTGCCAGCTCTCCTGCACCGCGGGTCCTCCCAGCCAGCCGGGTCCCTGATCCATATCCATTGGGGGGTGGAACCTTATGGCAAAGCAGTGGCTACATACCGGCCACAGCACAAGAAGCGTTGCTACAATCCTTACCACCCCTAACCATTGAACTTGCCACACAGGGCACCGGCTGCACCACCCACGGGCTGCCAGCACACCCTGAGGCGTGGCCCCAAAACCACCCAAGCACAGCTGCCCGGCCTCCAACAACGAGAACGACAGCCATACCCAGTCCACCACCTCCAGTCCTGCCAGTTCCACATCATCAAGTCCACATGCCACACCCAGACCAGCCTGGGTGTGGCACCCGCAAACCCAACCACCACAGCCAGCTGACAACCGATATCCTTCCATCACACCACATCAACTCCAACAGGCACTGCAAGCCTTGGACGCCGTTGATGCAATCTCCATCCTCCTGCTTCGGCCATCGGCCTACCGGAGCCCGCCCACCTTCATTCGGGGGCCCTTCCGCCCCGCACTTTCCATTGCTTTAACTTTGGCATGCATCCTCGAGGCCGACACAGGCCAACAACCCACCAGGGCATGGACACTTTGGTGTTTGCTCCCGAGAATGCTTCTGCACCGGGATCCCCGCATTCGCTCCTTGCCTAAAGCCGTCTGGCGTGACCGGCTCATCAAGCTCCAGCATGGCCAGTGGCAAGCTCCTCCTGCAAGGGGCCATCTCCAGCGCCTCCCCACAACAGGGTGCCCACATGGTCAGCAGCACACCAGGCGCTCCTTTCCGAGCCTGTTGCCCTGGCGCCCCCGCAACGTTAGAGAAGCTGCGCAACCCAGACAGGCGACTAAACCAGCCATACCAACCCATCAGCCCTGAAGCCGCCAATTTCCAAGCACATCCGGCCCACCTGCCCAGAGCCACGCTAGTGAGCAACCTCCGTCGGGCCCGTAAAAGAGCGGCGCCTCAGGGCCCTCAGGCCTCACTTCCGAAGCACTCCGCCTCATCTTGGATGATGAAGCAGTGACGGACCAATTCGTCCAAGTTAGCCAGATCCCAGCCCAGGGATTGGTGCCCCCACCAGTCGCGCACTTCCTAGGCCTTGGCCGCATGGTCGCCTAGCAGAATCTCAGCAGTGGCATCCGCGGCCTCGTCGTTGGCGACGTCGTTGGCGACACCTTCCGACGCCTGGAGTCCCGCAGCCTCGCCGAACTCTTCGCCAGCCATTTCCAAAGGGCCTGTCGCCCGTGGCAGTTTGCCCTATCCACCCGGGCGGGCACGGAAGCCGTGGTCAAAGCCTTATAGTAGACCCTGACCAGAGCATGGATGGCATTGGGGCATATGATCACATCTCCCGCACGAGAATGTTGACAGAGGGCTCCTGCGCATGCCGGAAGCTAACCAGTGCTTGCCCTTCGTCCGTCTGTTTTATGCCAGCCCGTCACGCTAAGTCTGGCACGGCCAAACCGGCGCGCACCCCACACCATCCACCAAGCAGAAGGGGGAGAACAACGCGACCCGGCGACCCCTTGATGCCTGCATTGTATTGTTTAGGCAAGCATGCTGCCCTGGCCGCCATCCAGCAACAATTGCACCCCACCGAGGCATTATATGCTTTCCTGGATGATGTGTATCTGGTAGTCTCTTTCCAGCGGGTCAGTGATGTACTTGGCATCGTGCAGCACCACTTGCCCACCCATGCCCATGTCCATCTCCACCAAGTTAAGGTAAAACCCGCGTGTGGAATGCGGCCGGCAGAGCCCCACTTTCCCTTCACAAGGCACCAACAGCTTTTTGACCGTTTGCACACCTTGGATGATCTCCAAGCCTCTTGGTTGTGGCAGCCGCCCCACACCTGGGTCTTTGCGGACACTTTGAGAGGGCTCCTCCAAACCGACGGATTGTCAGCACCAGCACCCGCAAGAGCGCACCTTCCTTTTGCTGCTGGCGGCCTGGGCCTCGTATCGGCAACATGCACAGCACCGCAGATCCAAGCGCCCCACCTTTATGATGCCCTGCAGCCTGGCTTCACACTCGGCAGGACCACCCTTTGTCCAAGCTGCCGGCAATGCAGCGCACCAACTGAGGCAGTAAGGCTGGGACTCACCATCCCTGTCAGCCCTCCCAGCTCAGCCCCCAGCTCCAGAAAAGCCCACCCGGGCATCCTCACCGAGAAGGTTCGCCGCCCCAAATCTGGACCGAACAGTCGGTCCTACACTCCACGTCGCCCCGGACACGACCAGTCTGGCAGCCCCAGACGGGCCGTGTCTGGGATATGCCGATCAATTGACCCCTCAAACTACCACGCCTGGCCGTTTCTCGGTCGTCCGCCAGTCCCCGTCGGTCCCACGACACCACTTACCGGTCCGGCCGGTCCCACGTTTTCGGGTCGAGTGAGTGAACTGGTGGTTGGTCGGTCGGCAGACCGGCCTCCGCACGAGCCCGGGCCACCCACTTCGCAGCCTTGACCCAGCCAGCCAGGCCATGATGGCAGCCGCACCTTTGCTACCATCCCGTACAAACCAGAGTTTATATATCCCAACCATCTCTTCCGCATCCTGCCTCCGTCTCCCACTGCCACTGACCCAACGCCGGTGCCGGTGCCGTCGCGTCCTCGGCCCCCTTGGCAACCGCCGCGCAGCCTGCCCACAGTCAGGGGCCCTCAGGAGCCCAGGTTCCCTCCGTCGAATGAGCAGCGGCCAGAATCTGCCGCGAGGCAGGAGCAAGAGTCACCACCAATACCCTGCCCTACTCACAGGCCTCAACTTACCCGCAGTCGACCGGGTTGACAACCGGCGCATTGAAGTCATCGCAAATGGGCGACAGTTCTTCCATGGGGCCCAATTGGCAGTCGACACGGCGCTGGTGTCCCCACTTTCAGGCGCCAGCCAACCAAGGAGGAGAGGCAGCGCATATGCAGCGGCAGCCTTGCATGACGCGAGGCGCGCCAAGGAACGAGCCTATACCCTGAACTCACCCGAGGGGGGGCGATGCCGACTCGTCGTTCTCGGAATTGAAATTGGGGGCCGCTTCAGTGTTGAAACCGCGAGTTGCATCAGCCTGTTGGCCGAACCCCTCACTAGCCCACCCCCGCACTCCCGTGGTGGCCTTTGGACTTTGCACATCTGTGAAAGGCCAGTATAAAGAGCGTCAACAAAGCCTGCTGACTGGACCCACGCGAAAAAGGCGTGCCCGAAAAAAGACCAACTACCGACTACGTACCAATCTGCCGCATTGCTACTACTACTCCTCCTCCTACTACTATTACTACTACTACTACTACAACTACTAAAACAACTACTACCACTACTACCACTACTACTACCACTACTACCACTACTACCACTACTACCACTACTACCACTACTACCACTACTACCACT